GCATTTCATAAGATTATGGCCCTGACTTCATTGTTATAAAAATAACATATCCTAGCCATTATTACGAAAATAGCAAATAGAACATCTAAAAATAAAAACACCGCGAAATAGCACAGGACGTAGTTAAATCACAGGAGAAGTATAGAGATTGACGTCCTTACTGCGTATTTCAGGTGATCGATTTAAAAAGCCAATATAATTCACATGATCAATGATGTCTTACTTACATGATATATATGATTTCATAAGCCACCACGTGATTCGAAAAAAGAAACATTAATGATATATTTTTATTATAGAGACGACACAAAAATAATTTGGGACTAGCCCGTAATACATGATACACAAGTAGAAAAGGTATATTGGCCACATGCTTTTTAACAATACGTTTATTAGCACGCAAAAATTAAGTAAAATCAACAAGCTATAATATATATCAATTATTAATTGCCTCATTTATAATTTGCATTAATCTATAAAATTTTCCTACTTTATTCTTGAAATCATTATAAGAAATTTCATTGAATACAAGATGTTTCTTATAATTACGACCTTCAGACGGTCCTACGAATTGTTGAATTGAATCATATTCATCATCTTTGTAGACAAGATAACAAGGGTTTTTACAGGTCAGTGATGAATTTTTATGGAGCATTGCTTCTACTTTCCTGTATTTTACAATATCCCCTTCATTTAAGAATTTCATGTGATATAAAAAAGCAAGTGTAAAACTTGGTATACCAACTTTATCTGCAAATATCAAATTCATTTTTTCTTTTAGCTCATCCTTGCATTTGTCTGAAAGTTTATCTGAAATATTTATCCTAGCCACTCCTTCGATAATCTCATCAATACCATCAGCTTCATCATCCTTATCAACTTCCTCGTCAGTATCATCAACCTCATCTTGTTCTTCTGTAAACGATAGAACTGAATAATAAATATCTTGAAAAAATATTATATAATAAAGATCTTTGACAAGGAGAACCTGCTATAGCTCTCTACTTACCTAGCTTAATCTTTTTAGCAAATCTTACAAGACTTATTAAAGGCCCTTCCACCATGTCATAACTACGTAAGTTTTCTTCAGTTAACCCGAGAAAGGCATATCCAGAAATCCTTTTATTACGAAGGATGGTAATATCATTTCATCAAGATGTAAATTTCTCTCTCTACGTAAAAACTCGATGAGTTCTTCTACACCTAACTTCTCAACATCTTCAACTGAAGTAGTAGCTGGTGTATTCATTTTTCGTACATAGGAAGGCCCATAATGAATAAAAGCTATGTATTTATAATTCAATTTTCTAATGAACACGACAAACTGTTATACGCCAAAAAAAATATCAATTATTACGCCTAATAAAAAAATGTCTTTTCATATGAAAGTTGATTTTGATCATCCCGAGCCCCTTTGAATATTTTGGCAAAAGGTAGATCTGAATTGAGAAAGATCAAAGTGATTGACCTCCTAAATCACGGAAATTTTTTTAACCAATTTCTTAGTTAATGACGTTATATACTGATGACTACAGATACTGCGGTAGATTTTTTGCATAAGCCACCCACGTGATTCAGAAAAATAATGCGAATATATATAGCAATCTTATGTCACACAGCCCTGTCTCCTTGATTTATCGATCTGTGGAGTGAGAAAATATAACTCAAATTAACTTTGCAAAAAATCAAGTGATAGATTTTTTCTGAGCCATACGAAGAAAAAAAAGAGAATTTCTCCGATATCTTCTGCACATTTCAGGTGATCAATTTCACGGTGATCTAATTTTTATGCCACCACCTCTAGATCTCCTGTATATCTAAACATACAACCTATATGATAAGA